CTTAGGCAAATACCAGGGTAGTACCTTAAATTAAGCCACGGTGGTGGCTTCCTCCGCAGTCTTTTCAATTCGTCATTCACTAATCATACAATTCGTCAGCGTCAAAACTCCTGATTAGATAACCTCAACAGCTGATAATAACTTCATAAAGTAGTGGACCGAAATCACAGTAATAATTGCACAAGAAGCCTGGCAAATAACAACATATCAATAAAACAGTTTCTTTTTATTGTAATTTTCGGCTTTGGTACGGTTTTCGTTGCTTATTTGTTTTTAAATAAGTGAATGCGTGTTGCCCATTTGAAGATCAATAAAAAATGGCGGTTGAAGTTACAAATAGACGTAATTAGTGTTATCCTTCACGAAAGCAATTCATTCAGAAAATTACGTATCATGCAGTTCAGTGATTACTGACAGCTAAACGATGCAGACGAAAATGTGGCCATAATATAGAGAAGCAACGCGTGCTGACGGCCATCATTAAGCCATCAAGTGGCCCCTCTGTCGGCCTTCCCTCGAACTCGTTGCAACTGACACGAAGATATCAGATGTCAATCTTTATTTCGTATTCCAAACAATTCTATGCGTTAATTCCATTCTTGGCTTTGAAAATTGCATCACCTGTGTACCCAAGGAGGATGAAATATGCGGTCCATGTATCAGGCTGGAAAAAATTACTTAATTATTAATTAATTCACTTATTTAAAAATAAATAAGCAACGGAAACCGTTCCAAAGCCGAAAATTACAATAAATAGAAACTGTTTTATTGATATATTGTTATTTCCCCGGCTTCTTCTGCAATTATTACTGTGATTTCAGTCCACTACTTTATGAAGTTATTATCAACCGTTGAGGTTATCTAGCTATAAAAATAATCAGGGGTTTTGACGCTGCCGAATTGAATGATTATAAATGCATGCAAAATTTTAGTCAGACGCCTGAAGAGAAGATAGCGTTTTGGAGACGTGGGCATAAATGCGGTGATTATATAGACTTTTTTAGACTGGCTCTAGGGCTCTGGCCTCTGATTTTCTGTTCCTTTGACCATTTTACAGACGGCAGGACGAGTGATCAGCTCTTTGCAAGGACTCTTCCTAAATACAGGACAACACATACACATACAAAATATCCATCCCTTGTGTGGGATCCGAACCCACGATCCCGGCTTCCGAGCGAAGACAATTTATGCCTTAGACCGCTCGGCTACCGTGACTGGCGATTGAGTGGAGTTGTCTTAACGAAATAGGATAGGAGGATGAGAAGCTGATAAAGACCCCTAACGTGCTGTTGTGAATACGGTAATAAACCTTCGAATTACATAAAAGGCATGGAGTATCTTATGTAGCTGAGCGACTGTTCGCTTCTGAACAACGACTCTGCACCATGGACGTAGCTATATAGATTAAATAGTACTGTTGTTGTGAAGCATTGAATTCGGCAGGCTGTGGAAGGAAGCAGTCGTCTCCTATTTTAAGATTCTCTATCGACATTTGTCCGGAGCTTCTGGGGAAAGCCACGAAAACCTCAGTTCCAGATAGCCGAGATCCATGCTCGAGGCCTTCCAAATACGAAGTAGGAGTGCCCTAAGCGTAGATAGGATATGATTGCAAGAAGTTCTGGGAAGAACTAATCGTCTACTTTCCGTTGATGTGACATGGACCGCATAGAAAACGACACCCCTAAAAATTTTATTGCCGCGGGAGCTTTTTCACCGAGTTTTGCAACGATATGGGGATCCACAGACACACGCATCCAGCAATTCTTCTATCGTTGCGTGTATTCTTTGCCGCGGGAGCGTGTTTACCGAGCCGTTGCCTGGCAATGAAATAAGGAATACACTTTACCGAGCCTTTTCCTAAAAACGATAGGAGGGATACACATACAGACACACACAGACTGATGGGATGGATTTAGGAAAAAAACACCGTTGAGATGGGCTCAGGTGCCATGATTTATATACCAGGTTCCATAAAGATTGGTTGAGGCATTCAAAAGTTAGTAGAGGGGATTCACAGGCACCATGGACATCGAATAAGCCTACTTTCATTCTTTTAATTATAAGTAAAGTAGGCTGAAATGGTTCTTAGAAGAGTTAATGGGTGTTGGAAATTGTGACTTCTTTCCCCTTTAATTCCTTGACTTATGAACCACGACTGCATATGCGTTTTCTCTACTAGCTGTTGCATATTATTTACCGGGCAGTAACGACGTTACGCCGGAAACTCCACAGTGACAGCTCAGGTACCATTGCTTAGCAACGGCGAGTAATCAGTTGTTGCTATGTAAGGTTTACAACAATATGTGGCGTGTGCTAGCTAATCGCAAGCTAGAAACCATTCGCTGCCTAGTAACGGCTGAGTAAACGGTCGGTGCTAGGCAAAGTCTGCAGCAATACGGACAGTGATATGTTTTCTATAGGTCCGACTCTAGGTTATATAAGAAGATACATTGAGTGGTGTAGACAGAATAACTTGGACTTGGACTTGGGTGTAGACAGAAGCCAGTGGTTAGCCAGCACGGAGAGATGGACAGTTCGACAGGTCTACATTCTAATGACAGTTGTTAACACGAAAGGACTGACTGTGAAACGACTTTTTCAACATTTTGTGTTATAGTTAAATTGAATTGTAGTTGCGTCGTTGAGTAATAAAATGACGTCACAAGAATACGCCTCGAGGTCTTATTTCACGACAGTGGGGTTGAGCTGGCTGAAGGTAATGTCCAATTGCGGGGTAACTCGTAGTATGCCTGATATTTTACATTCTTGTTCTTTTGTAATGTCATATTATGAACGATATTTACCTAAACAAAGGAGAGGGAGGAAGAAAGGGCGAAAAGAATGACGATAGGACTGACAAATAAATGAGATGGAAAAGGATTGCGAAAGAAAGGAGGGAAAGGACAAAAGTACGAAAGTTAATGTAACAAATTGGCCTTCCCGTTGTATTTTAACGGGAATTACGCAATATAACGGTATTTTCCTTGTTGTTTTCCGTCGAGATCATGAAAGATTTTGAGCAACGTGAACATACTTTATGCAGTCATAATGAGGTGAGGAATATGCTAATTTCACTGGTATAGAAGCACGAATTCGGTTTAACACTCAAAACTGACTAATTAAATCATTTGTTGTTTAGATGTTGTTTAGAGACAGATTAGGTTCCAACGTTGTCGTGCAGGGTTGCCAACACAATAGTTCTCCACGTGCAGGAACACCTGCACTAAGCAAAACTGTCGCAATTCTGCATAAATGTGTTAAAGTCTTGCTGCTGCATCATGCTGACTAATGCCACGGCATCACAAACGAAAAGGCAGTATTCTTCGCCTTCAGTCAGTGCACTTTACTTAATAAGAGACGAAGTTTCACATCTGTGTGGCCAAGAGAGAAATCTGTTTATGCCGTTAATCGAACGGTCATTCAGCATATTTCTATTCACTTTAACGATTGAGCCATCCCAGTTGGACTTATCACATTATGAATTGTGTCAGATAAAAGCTATACGACTTCGTACAGTTGTGGCAACGTTTTGTTAGGTACAAAAATCTATTTGTCCTGCGAAATCCCGTGTTTGATTTATTATTTGTGTCGAACATCATCTACGAGTACGCAGTACCTTGAGTAGGCAAGCTAGCGGAAGAAAAGTTCCTGCGTCTTCAACGAGATCTCCGGTATGGCGACTTCGGTTCCGATAATGTGTTGAAAATGCAGCCTGTTTACTTTCTAATAATTACGTAGAGATCTACGACACTGTCTGATGATGACGCACCCTCGAAGACGTCCTTGAAGCAGTTTGAGAATAATTCGAACTTAACAGTGCGTCTGTATTGACATTTGGAACGTCCATCCTGTTTTTACATGCTATTATTGATCTTTCTGCCCGCCTCTGTGATCTAGTGGTCAGAGTTCCTGGCTACAGATCCAGAGGTCTCGGGTTCGAGTCCCGACGCTACCAGTTTTTCCGAGAAGTGGTCCGTCTGGAACGGGGTCCTCTCAGCCTCGTGAGGATAACTGAGGAGCTATCTGAAGGAAGTAGCGGCTCCGGTCTAGAAAACCGAGATTAACGGCCGTGGGGATTTGTTGCCCTGACCACGTGACACCCTCTATCCTCTAAAGTTGGCACTAACTTCGCCAACAAGCGGAGGTCGCTCGGTCGGTATAGTTCGCTTGCAGACTAAAGCCACCGTATTTTTTTTTCTTCAGCTGGAGAAATCACTGAGCGACGAATGAGCCACAACAATGTTTTCGTAAGGTAGATTGGGTAGGATTAAGGAGAAAGAAGTCGTGGCCTATTTTGAAAGCACTGACGTGGCATTCGCCTGCATGGACTATAGAAAGCCGTGAAAATTCTCAGGATGCCCAGCGCCTCAACCGAAACACGAAGCAGACACTTCACAAATATAAATCGTAGACCATATCCAAGCGTTGTGGCTAGAACTAACTTTTGTGACGACGTTTCGTCGGTTGCAATGAATTGCTGTGAGCAATTTAATTTTGAAAATATGATAAACCTTTTGAGTAACAGAAATATACGTTAAACAAAATCGAATAATCAGTTATATTAAGTGAATTAATCTGAAACAGGCTTCTGCATTCTGAACTAATGACGTGAGGTCATGTGCATTGAGCGATTAATCGATTACAAGAAATAAAACACTCATCAATCGCGATAGTGTATTAGTTGTGACACTTACTTTAGTCACAGTTCTCATTTTACATAGCCGTAACTTTGCTGAGGCATTTGTCATAGGAAGGCCCTACTTTCTCTGATAATTAAGATCCACTGAGTTATCTCTGCTGATGGATATTCAGTCTTAATTATATTCCCAAAACATTTCTGGTCCGCCGCTAGGAGGTTTCATCATACTCATCTATGCGTGCATAACACGCATACAGTCATAGTTTCCACATTCCATGACTGGCATATGCGAAGGTTAGAAGGGTGGGGGAAAGGGGCGTGTTCTTTCGGTTTTGTGTAAATAGCTAGCCACAGTCGAGCAGATAGCAGCCGCGACTCAGTCTTCGCCTTAAACTACGGCATTTGTCAAGTTTCCGACACAGAATAGGGTTCTCTGTGTTTTTACATTGTTGCGTTTTCCTTGGACGTATCGATATCTGTGAAGCTGTTACGTCGATATTTTCATTTTGGCATATCATTTGTATTTATTTGCGATATTGTGTGAAATAATGTTCGTAAGGTTATGAATTCATTGTGTTACATTACCGAATGATATTTTTTTTTCACGCCACTTCTGTTTCTGAGAAGTTGATTTCGGTACAAGTTGATAACGGAAGTAATATCACATTCATATTATAATTATCTACCCATTAGTTCAAGTGTTTTTGTGCCAGGAGTTAAGAGTGGACGATATTGTCGTAGATGTGAAGTGTTTATTGCCGCAGTGCCTTTTTACGTGGTTACGTTGTTACCGAAATAATTTTCTTTTCCTCATTGCTTATAGTTACTATTTAAAACGACACAGATTTTGAACGTACTGGACGAATTTGATATACACACAAGCGATTGTTTTGTCAAGTGAAAAGAAACCTCAGGTCTAGTTTTGTAGCTGATAATTCCGCAATCAGCATGGTGCTTCATCAGCAGAAACACGAGTGTCATGAACACACTCAACATGTCGTGGGAAATGGATGGAAAGGGGTCAATATCCTTGATAAAAATTACACAGCAAAAGACCCACATTTGTTAAAGGTACTCCTAGTTTTCGGCCACTTATTTCTCAGCACAATTAAGACATTTTAGGTCATTTTTATGGGTGTTATTTTACGACTTTACAGTAGTTACACAGTCGAATGACAGGGTAACAGGTAAATGATGAATTGGAAAGGGTTTTGGAAGGAGTTGTTCGTGGCCTGGTCTAAGTATTATTTCGTTATTTGCCTGATGGGACTGAGGACAGCGATAAAAGCCCTTGTTTAGGATAGCCGTTGTCCCGGATGAGATTCTCATCGAGAACCACTGGCATACGAGTCAGGGGCGTTACCACTGCGCTAACACGTCCGATTTCTTTAAATCATGGCGGTTGCCGGTATATGAGAAGAGGATTTCATAGTGAAAGGATATGAGGACAGGTGATCTTGACGTCCTTGTCGAGCGCACATCACTCCAGCTTCATATTCGGGAGGTCTCGGATTCTGATCTCTGCCCAGGGACCGACTGTCATGTTTGAGGTTTGTCATGGTTTTTCCCAGTCCCGTCAGTCAAAAGCCAGAAGACATCCTTAAGGTTTGCTGTTCACAGATCCTACAATTTGATGCCGTATAGTGTGAAATGCTGAGACCACCGTTTAAACAAATGAATAAATCAGTAGCAGAGGAGCATCCCGTATTTAACCAAATGATCAAGAAATATGTTGTCACTATGCGACTTCATGAGTACAGAAGCTGCTGATTTGACCCTATTTTTAGCCAGTTCACGTCTTCGCCAGTGTAATGGTATCCTTTCATCTCTTCTATTGAGGTTTACCTACCAACGTTCTTTTTTTTTTTCAATTAAGTGCGTATTTACAATCTACTCCCGATGATATTGAGTAATAAGTAGATTTGTAAGTTTTGAGATTTCACGGCGATGACTATGAAGGAAGTCGTCTTCTGGGTTTTGGCGCCGTGTATTCTTCGTTTTGGCCGACGTTTCGGAGGAACGTATCGCCTCCATCTTCAGAGCAGGTGAATGGCTGGATTCACTGGCCTTTCCCCCCCCCCCTCCCTTAGCACACAACACCATATATGGCCTTAATCGCTCTCCACTGCTGCTATTGGTCCGCTCTCCCTAACCACCACCCCCCTGCCTACTTCGTATATATAGCAGCGCCTTCACTTCCTAATCATTACAGCATCTCTGCATTCACAAGTAGATTTGTTCTAAGTAGGTGTCTTGAGTCCATGTTAAGTGGGTCCCTGTCACCACGGCAAGGCGCGTCCTCAGGTTGCCGACGGAGGAGACGCCCTCCAGGTATGGATGGAAGCTGCGAATATATTGAATAATCCGTCGCGGACAGCCGACAAGGGGTGATCCTACAGCTTTGGGGTTGGGCGTGGGGCTAACAACTCCTCACCGTAAAAAGCACTTTGTTACGAAAATAAACACAAAGCTTCGGACCTGGACGGATCCTCTGGATGAACGACCTAAGCTAAAGAAAATGGTCATAAGATTCGGTACTTGGAACGTCAGAAGTATGTATAGGGCAGGTTCGGTCAGGGCAGTGGCGAAATAAATCTTAAAATAAAGGTTAGATGTAGGGGGAGTACAGGAGGTCAGATGGGACGTAGGTGGCACCGCACCAGCAGGCAAATATACATTTTTCTATGGAAAGGGGAATAAAAATAATGATTTAGGTACAGTTTCTTTCGTACACAAGAGAATCGTATCAGCAGTTAAGAGGGTAGAATTCGTTAGTGATAGGATATCATATGTAATACCAAAATGTCGCTGGTGTCATATCATTGTTATGAATGTTCATGCCCCAACAGAAGATAAGATTGATGACATAAAGGATAGATTCTATGAAGAAGTAGAACATGTATTTGATTAATTCCTGAAGTACCCTATGAAAATGTTGTTAGGAGATGTCAATGCCAAAGTAGGGAGGGAAGACATTTTCAAACCAACAATTGGGAATGATAGTTTGCATGAAATTAGTAATGATAATGGAGTTAGAGTTGTAAACTTTGCCAAATAAAAAAATCTTACTGTCAAAAGTACAATGTTCCCACATCGTAACATCCATAAATTAACTTGGACATCTCCTGATGGGAAGATACACATCAAAACGACCATATTTTGATAGATAGGAGATGGCATTCAAGTATACTTGATGTCCGGCATTCAAGTACACTTGATGTCCAATCATTCAGGGCAGCAGATTGTGATACTGACCACTATGTGGTGGTGGCAAAGGTTGGGGAAAGACTGGCAGTGAGTAAACAACAAAGCACAAGTTCTTATGGAGAGGTTCGGTCTCAAGAAATTAAATGAGATAGAAGGTAAAGAGCAGTTGAAATCTCAAATAGGCTTGTGGCTTTGGAAAACTTGGACACTGATCTGGATGTTAATAAAGCTTGGGAAACTATTAGAGTATATAAAATTTTCTGCCAAGGAGAGTTTATTATGACCTGAAGAAGCATAAGTCATGGTTCGATGAAGGAGGCTCAGAATTACTAGACCAAAGAAAATAAGCCACACTGCAATGGTTACAGGATCCAAGCAACATAAATAGGGTTAATCTGAAAAATATAAGACGTGAAACCAGCAGGCAATTCAGGAATAAAAAGAAGGAATATTTGAAAGACAAAGTTGATGAACTGGCATTGAACAGCAAGAACAAGAATAGTAGAGACCTGTACAGAGGAATAAATAACTTTAAGAGGGGTTACCAACCTAGAAGTAACTTAGTGAACGTTGAGACTGGTGATCAGCTCACAGATTCCCACAACATTTTGAATCGGTGGAAGAACTACTTCCCTCAGTTATTGAATGTACATAGGATCAGTGATGTTAGGCAGATAGAAATGCATACAGCTGAGCCATTAATACCTGATCCCAGCCTTTTTGATGTTGAAAGTACTATTGCAAAATTGAAAAGGTATAAATCGCCAGGTAGTGATCAGATTCTGGTAGAACTTATTCAAGAAGGAGGCGGAATATTACATATTTAGGATTTCGAATGAAGTGGGTGTGGCTTAATCGACTTACTATCCACATTTGCGCAGAGGGACTGAAAGTAGAGTAAAAGTAAGTAAAGGTATTCCTGTAACAGGCCGGGGACACCCATAGGGTTGTGAGATGTTGAGGTTCCCACATTTTTTAGACAATTGGCTCATAGATGGCGGCAAGGTTTTCAGCCCTACGTGCCGGCTGCCCTTTACCTCCAAGAATATTCCTGGTACTCATTTCTGTTAGAGGCTGAGTCGACCCCAGGGCCATAGTGCGTCTGGAAGAATTAGGTCAATTGAAAAAAGTCCAGTGACCTCATCGGGTCTTGAACTCATGACCTTCCGGCTTGTAGCATAGTGCCTCAACCAACTATGCTACCGCATGCCCCCCAGAGAGACTGAATGGAACCACAAAACCCCACAGTCAAGATAATGGTGTCCCATTAGAGATTCGAACCAAGCACTTCCAAAATACAAGTCAAGAGCGTTATATATCCCTTATAACGATGATTCAAGTTTGACACTCATGAAAAGTAGACAGTCGATAGCATATTATACACTACCAGAACAAAGTGAATCAGCATTGTGGTGCTTCCCTTTTTCGTTCACGCAACCTTGCGAGGATAACTGGGGAGCTATTTCAAGGAAATAGCGGCTCCGGCCTAGAAAATCGAGAGTAACGGCCGTGGGGATCCGTTGCGCTGACCACACGGCACCCTCTATCCGCTAAAGTTTGCACTAACTTCGCTGACAAGCGGCAGTCGCTCAGTCAGTATAGTTCACTTGCAGACTACATGCCACGGAGTTTTTTCAGTCATTGTTTGCATGAAGTTAGAACTGCTAGCACACCTGCTTTGTATCTGTGAGCCCCTGGGTTGGGTTATTGACCCATTAACAAGATATCCTCTGAGGGGTTTGAATTTGCAAGATATTACCTTAAAGTATGGTACATGATTACCATTTCCTTCCAGTTCATATCTTCTGATCATCATTACACTTTACACAACATAACTTATACAATAACTTTACACCATGCAAGTTACACATCAGAAAAGATTTACATTAGACTAATATGTAAATACAGCAGGAAGCTGTGAGGTATAGCTATGCAGAAAAGAATGAGTACAATTGATTGTTGCAGGTACGAGGACACCAGAGAGTTCCATCTGGCTCACGAGAGTTCAAGGAGCTGACCAAACGAGATGCACAGATTCAGCTGCAGCATGAATTGGACAAGTTGTTGGCTACCGTGCCTGATGCCAGAAAGGCAACTGTAGAGAAAGAGCTCAATGGATTTGCACAACTGTTTCATCGCTTCTTGCAGGAGGAGGGGCCATCTGTTGACTGGGAACGAATTGAGAAACTTCCAGAAAATGCTGTAAGCCATCACAGGACCACTATGGCCCTTCTTTATTAAGTTGTATTATGTTTTAACACAAAACAGCATTGACACATTCTTCACTCATGGAGCTGAGGCCTTCTTACGAAGCCGCCATTTGTGCAGCCACTTCCCAGCATTTTATGGAACCAGAAGATTCATTAACATGTTCACAGGAGCCCTCCACTGTCCCTTTTCTGAGCCAGATCAGTCCAATCCATTACCATCCCATCCTTTCTCTCTAAGATCCATTTTAATATTGTCCACCCACCTAAGTCTTGGGCTTGCTTGTGGTGGTCTCTTTCCTTCTGGCTATCCCACCAGTATCCTGTATGCATCACGCTTCTCCTCCCATTCGTGCTACATGCCCTGCCCATCTCATCCTCTTTGACTTTATCATTCTAATTATGTTTGGCGGTAGTACAAGTTATGAAGCTCCTCATTATGCGGTTTTCTCCAACCTCCTGTCACTTCATCTCTCTTCGGTCCAAATATTCTCCTTAAGAGCCTGTTCTCAGACACCCTCAGTCTGTGCTCCTCCCTTAATGTCAGAGACCAAGTTTCACACCCATACAGCATTAACACATTATTACCTCATTAAATTGTTTTAGTTCTGTCAAGAGGAACTGCTCCATAATCTGTAATCTTCACCAAATATTATTAGGATGCTTAGTGGGGGTGTACGAGATGCATGTGGCCAGGACTGGAAATGAGAGTAGATGTGGGTACATGCTGTCTATGTAGTTCCAGAGTGCTTTATTTTAAGAAAACTATATCCAGTGCCTTTAAGACATCATAACTGTCATTCCCAACAGTGGTACATGTAGGAAATTTCTTTACAACATGTGATGGTCATTCCCCTGGGCTTTTGTACTAATTAGAGCACCCACCAAGTTCTGAGAAGTCATTTCCCCCGTGGATGTAGCATGCAGCAAATGTGGGAGAGATCAGGATCATGTACAAAATTGTAGTCCAGAAACCTGAAGGGGATGTACCTACTGGAAGATTCAGGCATAGATGGAATTGAAATGAATCTTAAAGAAAAAAACAGGTGAGAGAGTTTGTAGTGAATTCAGCTGGCTTAAAATAGGGTCCCACGGTGGGCTTCTGTGAACATGATCAACCTGCAGGTTCCATAAAATGTCAGAAATTTCATGATTAGCTGAGCAACCCTTTGGTGCTCAAGGAAGACTCTGCTTTGTGGTATTAGTTTGTGGAGTAAAAGTGACACAAGGCATGCTCAAGGTGATAGCCATTGTATTGAAGGTGTCAACAGTATTACGTATATCGAGTATTTGTTCTTGTGGGACACAATTTGAACTTGACCAGGAAAACTGATACCCTTGCTGAGGTTTTACATGGTCTTCCTCAGTCTCTACAGGCATATGCTGGAAAATTTCATATTTGCCACTTAACAGCTAACACAGTGTTATTGAATCCTTGAAGCCTGTAGTTCATTTAAATATTATACATGAATTCACTTCCTATGTCACAGAAAATGCAGTGGATCTCCATTACAAAGACAATCCAGTTATTTATGTTTCAAGAAATAATCAGAAATTTTTGTGAGAATCATATGAAATACATGAGTACTGTATGAACAAAATGCAGAGTTTCTGAATGTGAAAGCAACTAATACATATATTAATAACTGGGTTTTAAAGGTTAAATAAACCAGCATGCAAGAAACAGAACTTTATAATACATCTTCAGATGTGATACAAGAAGAGTTTTATGAATGTTTGGCAGGTACGGGATTACAGCACGCTGCAACAACCATCGACCGATCAGATTCATATGATGCTGGATAAACTGGTGGTTGTGAAACTTAATGGTGGTCTGGGCACATCCATGGGCTGTCATGGGCCAAAGTCTGTCATCCCAGTTCGCAGTGACCTCACGTTCCTTGACCTCACTGTACAACAGATTGAAGTACGTACTGACAGCTGTTCAGTATATGTGTTTGTCTTCATGTTCTTGCCCACCAGCAGAATAAAGCTAGGGCTGTGCGAACTCTTGCATGAAATAGCAGTAAAATATCATTGAATACTGAGTATATTAAAGTATTTTGCACATAAATTATATCAACTTAAAGATACAGTTGATTCTTGTTATAAAGATACATTTGATTCTTGTTATACACAGAGTTTGCATTCCTGAAAATTACAGGTGTGTCAAAAGCATGTAAAAAAGGGAAATGCACCACTGTAGCATGGTGAAGGAGCTGGAAATGAAATTATTGAGTCAAATTTGTGTGGTGAACCAGGGAAACTGCCTGCACAACTCAGTGGGCATGCCTGCAGCTTCTACTGTGACCATGGATAGGGCATTGATGCTTTTCATGAGACTGAAATAAAACTGGGTGTGCTAAAATGTGGATGACAAATGTGTATAATGAGACTTACCTGTATTTTTCATATAGTGTGTAGAAGTCGTGGTTAAGTGCGTTAGCACACTACCATATCCAGAAGTTGCTGGGTTCGGTTCTAGGCCTACAGATTATTTTCCTTAAAATTCATCTAAATATTATCCTATTTTATTTTTTCTCAAAAAACGGGACATTTCCATTTTTCCCCCTAAAAATTCGGACATTAGGTAAAAATGGGACACAATAAAAAAGTAATAAAAACAAGAAATCAGTAGTACAATATTGAACATTGAGAAATTTAAACATACAAAAATGAGCTCAAAATTATTAATTTTGAAACATGGGACTTAAAAAAATTCATACAAAAATAAAATGTAGGTCTTGCTTTGTGAAAGCCTTCCAGATTCACCTGAGTATTTATCAGATTTGTGTACCTGTTCCAGAAACACTGTTTCTATCAATATTTGGGAAAAGAACTCTGAACAAGAGAAATCTGTAAAGTGGCTCTTGACAGTTGTTAAGGCTTTCACTGTTTATGTTTTACGTCCTTTTTTTTATCTGACCATATCACGTTTATTATTGAGATAATATGCTCAATCAGTGCTCTAGATCCTGGCAGTGGCAGTCAAAAACTATGCATGGATCACAGAAGTCTTCTGCATAGTTATTAAACTTTTCAGTGGTTATGTGACCTTTTTCTAGTTCTTGCAGCTGATCTCTCACAGCAGTTGTAAGAAATCTCTCTGTCTTCGTATAATTTAACTTGTCTAACAGTTTGCTATCTCATTCTTCACTTCAGTTATTGTGGTATCTTGCTTTTCAATACAGTGGATGTTGGTATCATGCTTTTCAATACATTTGATGGTATGGAAAGAGGTTTTTAATTGGCTGGCAGGGAAGTGTAAGAAGGTGAATGAAAGTGGATTTTCGAAGAAATTCTGAAGGCTGACTGGACACTTCTGAAGGGAAAGGAAATAAGATTTTAATGCAAGAAAATATCATTAATTCTCTGTACTGCTGGTAAGAGGGAGAGCCATCTTGTATTGCTATGACCCAAAGTTTTATACTCTGTTTCTGTGAAGTCACAAAATGATTTCAGTTCCTCAACTTGTACAGAATAGATGTGGAAATACTGGTAAATCTTGTTAGTTATTAACTGAAGCTCAATAGGTAAGCAGTCTGCAGCACATGTGCAGGACAACCAATACCAATCAAGTTGTTTGATGTTTTTGCCTGCAGTTTGTGGTACAGATTATTCTTCCATTTCCTCTTCTTGCCACCAAAGTTTATATTGGTATTATCTGCTGATATTGCAATAACTTTTTCAAGGAGATCTAATTTCTGTAACACTAATACATAAGAAAGCAGCAGATCTGGAGTTTCACCACCTAAATTAACAAACTCTAGCACCTTGGCCATCACATCTTTTTCTGTGTGAAAATATATAACAGTCAGGGGCACTAACCTTTTGTCCAGGTGGTTAGATGAGTCAATCAATCCAGAAATGAAACAAGCTTTTAGCTGATGAAGAATCTGGTTTGTTGCAAATGGCACAGTAACATTGGCTGTTCCGGGAAAAATGGGATGAATGGGAATCCTATATTATTCCCATCTCTTTGGTTTTATTCCAAGTGTCCTCTTTCCAGGACCTTACCCACATAAACATCTTGTTGAGTTTTTGTAATACTACATGTTGACTATTGCAGCATTTGAATAAGACCTACAAGACAAGTGTTCCACTTGTGCTTATGAACTCGTTCAACACTGATGAGGATACTCAGAAGATCATCCGCAAGTACAAAGGGCTACAAGTCGAGATCTACACATTCAACCAGAGCTGCTTCCCTCGCATCAACCGCGAGTCCCTACTCCCTGTTGCCAAAAGTTGTAATGTTGATGCAGACATGGAGGCGTGAGTAACAACATAGTATTAATATCATTTCAGTGTCTTAAAGAAATCTTTTATGCTCCCATGTCAGTATCTAAAAACAGATTGAAATTTTATGGAACTAATTTTATCAGTTGTTTTATATGGGTATCCAACTTGGTCTCTCACTCTAAGGAACAGAGAATATGGGAATTTGAGAACAGGATACCAAGAAAAATATTTGGTCTTTAGAAAGAGTAAGGAATAACATGATAATGGAGAAAAATTATGTAATCAGGACCTTTACATTCTCTCTTCACCAGATATGATTAGGGTCATTGAATCAAGAAGGATGAGACTGGCAGGATGTTTAGCATGAACAGTAGAAATGAGAAACACGAAACACAATAGGAAATATACTCAAACAAAAACCACAATTAGATAAATACAATAAAAGTGGCATATACCAAATGAAATGTGTAGATTGCCCATTGAAATACATTGGGCAAACAGGCAGAACATTTAGCACTAGATATAAAGAACATATACATGATATTAGAAATAATGATAGCAATTCCGGGTACTCAAATCACATACTAAATACAGGACATGCATACGGAACAATAACAGACGTAATGGAAGTTGTAACAACGGGAAAGAAGGGCAGACATTTAAATACATTAGAGAAATACCATATATATAAAATAAGTAAGAAAGGCTTACACATGAATGATACACACATAGAAACACACAATCCCATATTTCAAACGATACACGAAATCTACACAGACTAACGGTACCTCTCTCTCCCCACTACCCATTCCCCCCTACACTCACTAACATAAAACACAGCACACAATACAGCAGACAGCACACGTAGTACAGACAAGCAGCGGCACCCACACAAGAAGACTACATTAAGTAAGTACAAATAACAATATACACACATAAGAAAATATTACGTACAGAAAATAATAATACGAATATTTGTATATTACAGATAACACCTGTACAGTGTGAAAACAAGAACTAGCCGCTCCAGCACTTAGACATAGGGCGTGTAACCCTAAGAATTTTAAATTTTAAATTTAAAATTTAGAGAAAATTTTAAAAGGTTTTAAAAACATCATAACTAAAGATTTTTAGAGTGCTACTACAAGAATATCGGGTTTGACGTGTGCAACATAATCTACATACCAGACACATATCAACGATGTAGATGTTGATAATACGAAGAATGTGACATTGTGTTTTTAAATGTTAAATTTTAGACTGGGTTCAGTGTGGCAGCAACGTTAAGAGTATACACCTGATGATGGCCGATAGAGGCCGAAACATGTAGTGTAGAAAGAACAAGATCAAAGACATATAAATATATATTGTTTGCACTTAGGACGGAGTTTGTATCATTTATCGTGTAGAGTGCAACAGGATGCTTAAATATAATATTAGAAATGAGAAATTAGTATAGCATTTTTGTCAGAAAACTTCAATGAAGGAGACTGCCTAGAAGATCCAGATATAGATGGGAGGCTAATATTAAAATTGATCTTTGAGAAATTTGGTGTGAGGGTGTGGACTGGATTTTAAATGGCTTAGGTTACGGTTCAGCGGTGAAGTTTTGTGAATGTGGCAATGAAACACTTGGGACAGTTTTGACCAGCCGAGTAACTATCAGCATTTCTGTGCTATGAGTTAGTCAGCAGTCAGTCAGAAAATCAAAATTCTTACTGCTGAGTCAATAATTTTATGTAAGGGAGAAGTATGTAGTGTATTAATATGTTCACTGCCAATCATCTCTTCTGGCAGATCAAAGTTTACTTAGTGCCATTGTAAATCCTAACACATGACATGCTGTTGCCATTGCATCTATAAGTGTCATTTTCCCAGATGTCAGTCAAATGCAGACAAACTTTTTTCAGTTCAGCTTGTTGAAGCTTGAAGGAGTCGAAACAGAAGGGATTATTGATTGTTTCATGGTTGTTAATTTACTTTGCTTTGCTTGATGTCTGCTTCTTTTTGGCTCATCTCTGACTCTGGAGGTGGAGGCATTATGTTCCCTTGAAACATCAGTGAAATGTTACCAGACTATGTGGTGTTACATCCCACAAGAAAGTACATATACTCCTCTGTGCTTTTCACTTGTTCTCTTCTTTTTCTGTTTTGAATGTAAGGAGTTAAAAATCTGATTTTCGTGTGCAAATTCCAATCCATTAGTAGAAGACTAGCATAGGTAGGGGGAATAGCAGTGAATGTGTTAATTTCAATGAGTGAATCCATCTGAATTGTACATTTATTTTCATGTGTTTCAATACATGGAGGGGACACATGATAGCATAGTTGGTTGAGGCACTATGCTACAAGCTGAAAGGTCGCAAGTTCAAGTCCAAATGAGGTGGATTTTTTTTTTCAATTTACCTAATCCTTCCAGCTGCGCTATGGCCCTGGGGTCAACTCAGCCTCTAACAGAAATGAGTACCAGGAATCTTCCTGGGGATTGAAGGGCAGTGGGCCATATGGCTTGACAACCTTACCACCATCTGTGATCTTATTTTCTAGAGAAAATGTGTGAGTCTCAGTGTCTCACAACCTTATGGGCCTTCACGGTCTGTTACAGGGATAGCTCTTTTATTTCATTACATGGAAATTTTTCATTCATCTTGTATTGTTTTGTTTCAACAGGTGGTACCCACCTGGTCATGGTGACTTTTATGAAAGCTTTAGGAACTCTGGTCTCCTTCGCAAGTTCATTGAAGCGGTGAGTTGATATGGGGGGATTGTTCCGAACACAGAACAGTATAACTTAACTGCCACCATACACACCAACCCTCTTTTCTCTTTTGATGCTAAGTAGCTTCTGCAGTTGGTACGGTATCATAAGTGTGCACATATATAACTGGAAGTGGGCTGAATAGACAGACATACATTTCCATACTTGAACAAGGCTTCAACTTGCAAGCATAAATACTGATACTTGATAACAGGACTTCTGTTGCTTACATTGAAATGTAGTCGGATATTATTCATTGCCTGAGGTATATTTGGTATACAGATTGGCGCAAAACTATCACTGCAGTTTAAGACAACCTCCATATTATTGAATATTATTTTAACCCTTTAACTTCCAAGCCCTGCAACAGAACTACCTGCTAGGAAATTCTGTGACTGCTTAGGGGTAATTATAGTTGCACAGAAAATCCCAAAATATTTTCTCATATGACCTTATAATGGCCACAGGTATAGAGCATTTAAAAGCCTGTTCTGTCCTGTAAACATCAATATGTCACATTTCATGCCATCTATTGACAGAAACGGTATATTAAATAAAAATAAGCTGATCTCTTCAGCTCTGGCAGCTCTAATGCAAGTACCCTGACCTGATCTAATCAGCTGTGACATACAAAAGGTCAAAAATTGTTCCGAATAGCAGCTGCCATGGTGGATGAACAGTCCACATCTATCAGAGTTACTCTGGTCAAGTAGATTACTGTGTTTTGATATGTGATGTCAAGTAGTCTGGTAGGAGTTACCAGTATTTTGAAGGAATGTGCTATCACTATCTTCAGAGTAGAAAAGTAGAGCTCTTTCATTCTGAAGGTGGAAGCAACAAGTGATTTATAAATCATTCGTATTACTTTACAGGGACGAGAATACTGCTTTGTCTCCAACATTGACAATCTTGGAGCCACAGTAGATTTGAACATCCTAAATCTTCTTCTGAATCCTGCAGATGGAAATTCAACAGAATTTGTCATGGAGGTCACAGACAAGACAAGGGCTGATGTTAAGGTACGAAATGGTGTGTTTCATTAAGTAAAAATTGTTTCTGTGCATGGCATAAAAGTGATAAAGTAGCGTGCAAAATTAAGTGAAGAAATGAATTTGAACTGGGTATGTATGTTGTTTAGGGTGGTACACTTATCCACTATGAGAATAAGTTGCGGTTGCTGGAGATAGCACAGGTGCCAAAGGAACATGTTGATGATTTTAAGTCAATCAAGACGTTCAAGTTTTTCAACACCAATAACTTGTGGGCCAAACTGGATGGTGAGTAAATCAAATACAGAATATATTTGTATGACCTCAGTGTGCCAAATTTTGTCACACAGTTGAGTTTTGACTTCATGGAATATACCTGCTACACCTTTGTGTAAAAGTAAAATGTTGTCTGCAGTAAAATTAGGGTAGGCTTGTGTATGGGTTTAATGGTTAACAGAAGATAGCTTATTTGTTTTCATTTAAGTTCTTTATATGTCTGTTAACACAGTCTTCATTTACATGTCCACTGTATTTCTCGGGGAGCAAGTTCAAAGTTGTACCACAGGTTATATGGTGTTTCCAATGAGAGAGAATAACTGAATATCAGTTAAGAGATTAACATTTGTTTCATGTTCAGGATATCCTGTGTTCAAGTCCTGTCTCAGAATCCACTTACCCACACTAAGGTTTTTGGTGTTTTTCCTCAGCCCCTCCATGGAAATTGAGGTTAGCACCCAAAATTAGGCTGTGACTCCTTCCTTTCATATCCTTGCTAGTACATTAATGAGCTATGGGTCTGTAGTGTGGGCTGCTAACAGCACAGCTAAATAAATCATAAATAAAAACATAAATAGGCAGAGGTGTTTGTAGGCAAGCCATACCAAAGACAGTGTCTCATACCTCACGTTCTGTACCTGCTGTTCTTATTTACACATTTTGATGACAGCTTTACACTGATGTCTTATTTCATACATATCATATGGTTTATTTATTGATGCTGTCAGTATCTCAGACTGTATAACACTGAATGGTAAGATGATTAATGAATGATGAATTGGAAGTGATGCAGAATGAAGCAGGAACCTGCTACTACTATAGCTAGGACTGTATGGAGGTATATTCCACTCCCCATATACACCATCTTGGTTTCATATTAAAGCAAAGGAATGGGTGCTGCCAGAAGTCTTTCCACAGGAGGCAGCCAGAAAATTTGTTTACCAACTTACATTTAATTCATTTAAGTTATTTGAACTGGTCAATCTAGTGTGTTAGGGATATAACAGTATTTTTTAAGATAATTTAAATTTGTTATAGTAATATTGATATATTTCAGTGTTCTTTCAGTTTTAATTTTTCCCAAATATCTATGGGGGAGGGTAGATGCCTGGCTTACCCTCCCCTGCTGCTGCCCATGCCCACATATAGTTATACATATACTTTTGTGCAGCCATTGAGAGAGTCCTGAATCAGAACTCTCTTAATATGGAGATCATCGTTAACAGCAAATCTCTGGCTAATGGACTCAATGTGATTCAGTTGGAGACAGCCGTTGGTGCAGCCATGAAGACCTTTGAGGGTGGACTGGGTAAGTGAAGTACCCATATAAACATAAGCAGTTATTGCTGTATATAGAGTAATATTGTCTTGTTGTATTTTAGCGTCCTGTTGCACTGATTCACGTCCATGATGTGTATGTATTGACCGTCTTCTAGTGCACAGAAGTGAGATTGTGTGCACTAGAAGACGGTCAATACAAACACATCATGGACATAATATTGTCTTTATTTTATACATGCCACAGCAGGATGGTATGATGACAGTTATCTCGACATGCATCCAGAATGTACGCAGTTAAACTCTCAGCTGGGTTACCAGCTGTCTCAGTTGATGATTTTGTTGTTTTTCTCAGTCTGTCCAGGTAAATTTTAGGACAATGCCTTTATATAGGCCACCAACATGTCCTTCCAAATCCTTAAACATATTGCAATGATCTTACCACGTCATTTGCTCCACGGTTGAAACAGTGTTGCAAAATAACTTAAGAGTCAGTCATTTTGTACATAACAACTTGTTGTAGAAGCTTTCATTCTTCCTCCTCCCCAGACATTTCTACATTTTGTGGTCCTCTCACAAACCAGGCCTCTCCATCTGCTGTCTATTTAGTGTAGTAATTCATCTTAACCATGTGTTTTGTGACTCTAAGATTGGTATTGCAGGCATCAGTGTGCCACGAAGTCGGTTTCTTCCAGTCAAAAAGACATCTGATCTGCTGCTGGTGATGAGTAACTTGTACAGCCTCAAGAATGGATCACTGGTGATGAGTCCTCAGAGAATGTTTCCCACTACGCCTCTTGTCAAGTTGGGTGACAATCACTTCTCAAAGGTTAGCTCAATTCAAGTAACTTCGGGAAGTGAGGAGATACATCTCATATCAAAGCAACAGTTTATTATGTATTCCTGACAGTCTAAGGGAGAAGTACTGGATATCAGATCCAAAATAGATTTTTTTGCATATCATTCGATTTCTTAATGTGTACATTCACGTTGCACTAAGTTGGTGTGTTTTCACTTGTCATAATGCAGGTGAAGGAATTCCTGTCTCGGTTTGCCAACATCCCAGATCTGATTGAGTTGGATCACTTAACAGTGTCAGGAGATGTTACATTTGGTCGAGGCGTCTCACTGAAGGTAAGATATAAAGGTAACATTAAAAATGTGTGGAGATGTATTAGTAGTAGACAGGGGTTAAAAATAATGTCATTCACTTGCCCGAGGTGAGTTGATTTGTCAAGCTGGCTAGCAGAAATTCACTAGTCATGTATTTTACAGGTAATCAGTACCATCATTCTGTAGGATGCAAGAAACAAAGTATGTCTGATAACAGAAACTATAAACATGAACTTTAAACATTAATTTTTTTAAAGTTTCATTCAGGAAGTTCACACCAGTTCTTCATCTGTGGGAGGGGCTGGGGGTTGGTGGCAATCAATCTTAGTGTAATCCATTGCTGGTTGTCCATGTTTGTGCAATAGGCCTCCAGTTACAAAACCACCGAGATTTCCTCCCATATAGAAAACATATTAAAACTTCATTATAAATACCAGTCAGTTAATGCTGTCGAAGGAAATAATCAGTGTTTATTGTGGGAATTATACAAAACACATAAATACACTGTATGGGCAAAATGCAGAGTTTTTATCTTAGGTATACATATTTACCACTGTACTTTAATAGGTAATAATCCTTACTATTTTCAATGCAAAAATTATTGCAAGTATAATGTTTCTGGATATTATCCATTGCCCTGTTTTTATTTGAAAATGCAACATTTCAGAGACTGGATTCTGTCTCCATCTTCAGGTAAAACCTACTCAGTTGGGCCCAATTGATAAGCTAGTCCCTATCTGCAGACACTTGCACCAACACAACATATGGTATACTAGCCAAGCACAGCACAAACCATCTGTGAGAGCTAAGACAAAACATTAAAAATAATAAAAACTCCAAATGTATGAGGCCTTGCACCAGAGAACTATCAGAATAGAAGTCATCACTGGACAGACAAATTCTCTGTATGGTACCAACACAAATTTTCCCACTGTCTACACTGGACAGAGTTGTAATTTTTTTAAAATTCTGTGATAACGGGAGTCCAGATGGGAAAGATGTCCAGGCTGGGTTGACTGATCGGGTGGCCTATCAGAGACGTGGTCAGTACTCTGTATTTCCTGTATGTGGTGTTTGGTTCAATCTGCAAGACCTTTGCTTCGTTCTAACTTATTTTGTGACCTTCTTCTTACCAGTATTGGGCTAATTTTTATTTTTCAAGCAGAGCTTGTCAGGTTATATTTGTGCTCCTTAATGCATACTTCTGAAGGGCTGCTTGTATCACTGATGTAACATCTGCCACAGTCACATGGGATATTGTACACACATTGCTTCATCTGCTGGGCATCTAACCGGTCCAGTTTTCATCAGTGTCCCACAAAGTGTGTGTTTAGTTTTGAAAATTGTCCTGACATTGAAACGGTTTCCAATGCATCTGAATTTCTCAGAAATACCCTTAACATATGGGATAATGACAGTGCCTTGGTATGTCGTATCTGAAGAAGGATGGTTGCTTCTTGATAGCTTCATTAGGGTCAGTGAATTCTTGTGGGTATTCATTAAGAATCTGATCATGTCTTTAAGTTCTTAATTTCATTGTTAAAATCCTTCTGATCCTGACATATGAACTTGGCTCAGCTGATCAAAAACAGGATGATTGATAATGTCCAGAAACATAATAGTTTTACTATTGTATCGGCATAAACTTTTAGATATTATTTACAAAAATTATTGGCATAAGTTAATAAAGCCAGTTTAAAATAATCTGACAGTGAAAGGATTACACTATAATGTACAGTGGCATGTAAGGTTCTTTTTAAGCGGCCTCCGTAGTCTAGGGGTAACGTTCCCACCTCATGACTCAAGTCATGCGGGTTCAAACCCGGCGGAGGTCATGGAATTTTTAGGAGCGGAAAAATTCAGGGAACAAGTCCTCCAGGAGGGACTTTAAGCCGTGGGTCCCGTGTCATAGATTTATGGCACGTAAAAGATCCTCATGTCTCTAGGAGACCTCTGAGCAAAAATTAGGCAAAAAGTTTCCTGCCCAAGTAGTTTCCATTGCCTCTGGTAGATGGGGAAGTTATCAGGTACCAATGTCAGTAGAGGGCCGACCTCGCTGGCAGAAAGGGGAGAGTAATCGGGTACCACTGCAAGTAGAGGGCAGACCTCGCTGGCAGAAAGGGGAGATAGCGGGCACCAATATCAGTAGGGTATGGCAACAGAAATTGAAGGGGGATGTACAATAGACTGTTAGTTGCGGTGCATGGGGAAACCCACCCCCTCTATACTGAATAACTGAAGGTTCTTTTTACTTTTAATTTTTCAAGCCCTGGTACTAAATACATGTTGAAAATGAAGTGTAAAGATAATGAGCTACTGTAAAATAACACAGTGGAGTGATGTAGTGTTTCGGAAATGTTCTGGTCCATGAAATGCCTTTTTTCTTGAAAATTGCTCATGAAGCAATTTCCAAAACAGCAGTTTTAATAAAATAACATGATGGACAAAGTGCAAAATGTCAAATTTAAACAATAATTGTAATTGTGTTTTTTTTTTTCAGGTCAACTTCTTACAAATATTCTGGTACTAATATTATTTCCTTTTCACACTTTCTTTGCAATGGCCTATTGCTGATTAATGTTATGCTTCTCTGGTAAACCTTATTATGCCTAATAATTTATCTTTGTATTTCCTCTATTTCCATTTCTTGGCCCCAGAAATTCTTAAATTTGTGGATATCACACAATTATTAATGTCCCCATTAACAGATATGACCCTCTACTTTCTCATGAAAATACAAGTATAAAATCCTCACCCTACCCATTCCCTTCAATCTTTAATAAAATTCTGTTCATAGCAGCTCCCTAATTTAAAATAACCAAGTCACAATCAACTGCTACATGTTTCAGCCTTACTTGATCATCCTTAGGCAAATGCTCACTTTTTGAAACCACCACACTGCAGAAGTGGCCAGTCATGGTAGCCGAGCGGTCTAAGGCATGTACTGTCTTTGCTTGCTTGGAAACTGGGATCGTGGGTTCGAATCCCACTCAGGGCATGGATGTTTAGTTTGTGTGTGTGCGATTTTCTGTGTTTGTGTATAGATAGAGGTCTTGCGACAGGTTGATCACCCGCCCATGGAGTGCTACCGAATGTGTAAGATCTAGAAAAACCGAAGTGAACAGAGAAGTTCATAGAGGTAGGCATAGGCCCACTGGGGCTGTAGCACCAAGGAAAAAAAAACACTCCAGAAGTTCTTAAGTCAAAATATTTCAATGCTACTGCATTTTGTCATTCACACTAAAATACATTTGTTTGGTAACTCTCTATCCTTTCCCGTGCTATTTTTCTCTTGTGACATCTGTGTTTTTGTGTTGTTTATTTAGCCTTACGAACATACAAAAGTGATATGCACTCAACTAGTGGGAACACATATCTAATGGGGCACATAAAAGTAACAGTGATAACAAGACCATGCCAATGTTCATAGGGCTAAATAAAACAGTACAAAAAACATGGATGCCACAAGAGGAAAATAGCATGTGAAAGGATAAAGAGTTATGTTCACAAACAAATGTATTTTAGGGTGAATGAAAATATAGTAGCATTGGAATATTTTGACTTGAGAATTAGTGCAGTGTGGTGGTTTTGAAAAGTGAACAGTTGCCTGAGGATGGCCAAGTAAGGCTGAAACATGTGGCACAGTTGATTGTTATTTTAAGTTAACCCTTTGGCGCGGTCATTTAAATTCCGCGGCCGCGTCTCCGGCGGTAATATATTCAGCCGGCCATTTAAATTTTGCTCGAAAATGATTTATTCATCATTGTTCTTAAATTCTATGAGATAGGAACATGAAACTTTCACTAAAATGATCTTAAAATGTGGTTTTATAACCTTACCTTATAATATGAGCGCCCTGTAT